AATACATTTTTTTATATAACCCTTTTGCTGATTTTTAAAGTGTTACATAAACAGGACAGGTGAAATATTATCATGTAAAGCAACCATAAACACACGAAAAGACCTAGGTTTACAATTTATGATTAAAATTCTACTATCTACACAATATACATAGACATAAAATGTAAAAACTTAAATATCTTAGAAACAGTAGCCAATCAGTTGTTTTAATTGTCATATTTGAATTCAGCACATCAAAATACATAATAAATAGCACATTTTATCTCTGAAGCACACGACTTCTCAAAAATTGTAGACCAGTGTTACTAACCAGGAGCTATTCAAATCAGGTGAAAAGACCAGATGGGGTGGCTGGATGGGATTCGAATGTGCCTTATTCTGATGTGAAATTATTGCTGGTTGCTTTGGTGAAACGTATTTATGATTAGGGCAGTGACATCTCATAAAATGTGTAAAAGATGCCCAAGGGAAAGCCCCATTGCTTAACTGTACAGGACAAAGCACTCAGAATTATAATATAGACTAGAATAATTCTGCATGGGACAAGGGGAAGACCAGATGATTTAGGGCTATGTCGTATACATCTTAAGTATGCTGGTGAGTGCTTACACTGAAGTCAATAGGACTATTATTCGTGTAAGTAGTTCGTGTGACACAATGTTGCTTCTAATGAGCCTCATTTTAAAAATACTGAGACCCATTTGTAGTCACAGCAATTGTGAGCTACAGCATGTCCCTCCAAGCTGTGTGCATGAAAATAGTATCTCGTGCAAGCAAATGGGTATTTGTACAGGAAAAAATGTGCTCACATGTTTACACAAATCTGCTCCTTTTCCTTTCTGTAGAAGTGGCCCAGCAAGCTCTTGAGGGCAGGATCTGTGTATCCCTGTGTGCTTGGAGAGCATCCATCACACACTGACATAATACACCGCTACCTCGATATAACACGACCCGATATAACACAAATTCAGATATAACGCGGTAAAGCAGTGCTCGGGGGTGGGGTGGAGAGGGCTGTGCACTCCGGTGGATCAAAGCAAGTTCAATATAACGCTGTTCCACCTATAACGCGGTAAGATTTTTTGACTTCCGAGGACAGTGTTATATCGAGGTAGAGGTGTATATATAAATAATAATAATAGTTCCTTTCCGGCTCTAGTTTTTATGATTCTATAGAAGACAATTGCACTTACTGTTCTTGGTGTGTGTGTGTGTGAGAGAGAGAGAAGGACTGAGCATTAAAACCAAAAGGAGAGGGCCCAATTCTGTTCCCGTGGCAGACAATGGGCCTTTTGCCATCATCTTCAATAGTTATTGAATTGAATCCAGTGCTAGGGCAAATGTGTTAACAAAGGCAAAATCCTGCATATGCTAATACAATAGGGAGGAGAATACAGAGAGGAAGAGGTATCAATGCAATGACATTTGGATTCATTTGAGTCCTCTTCACACACAAAAACAAAACAAAGGAAGAAAGGTTTAAACTTAGAACTCTATGTATCTGGATTAAAATGAACATTTTAGGTCAGATTATTTTTTTTTGGTCCCCCTTAGTTTTCCTAGTCTTCTAAACAATTCTGGGAGACGGGGATTAGAAGCAGCTGCAAGCCTGCATGTGTTCTGAAGGGCACAGTAGGACAATGAGGAATTTAGATATCATTCATTTTCTTTTCTTTCTCCCTCTCCCCCTGCCCCCAATTCAACGTGGGAAATAATCAGTCATTCACAGTCGTGGAGAATGACCCCCTACCTCTCATAGCCCATATCCAAAAAACCTTTGGCAAAGCAGACCTGAATTCCAGCTCCCTCAGCACGGCTGGAAGTCACACTCTGCACCATAGGACATAGGGATTCATGAATCATGGGCTTATACCAAACTATACACTGAGTACCTTCAATCAGTTGTCAGAAATACTGATTGACCACTTTCTGAGCACTCAATATATTTCCACTTTTGTTTTAATGCCTTTTTCAGTTTGCACAATGAGCTTATGGGATGTCACTGGAATCAAGTTCTTTTCTGATTAAAATCCTTTTTTTTTTTAAACCCAGCTTTGCAGCAGGGATGCGAGCCTGAAAGGCCCAGCATGGCAAAGATACATTCCTGATGATTTATGCAGCTTCACTTCCTTGATGATTACCCCAAATAAATCATGTTGGTATTTTCAGCAGTGATTTAGCTGCCCTTTACATTCATATAAATCTTCAGGCCAAGGAGAAAATTAGCCAAGTCCACACATTGATCTTGTGAGGTAAATTGTACCTAGGCAGCAGGAGCTCCATTGATAAACAATGAGGCAGTGCAAATAACTTATCAGTTTGCTTTTAATCAATGCTACTTCTCACAATGTATTATTCTAGCAATGGGTCTAAATCACTGTGCACTATAACTGTTGTTTTCAAAACCTTTTAATCTAATTGGAAAATCTTCCTTTCTACTAGTAATAAACACTCACTAAATTGTCTGCACCTAATTGAGCGGTAGTAATTTATGTGAGCTCCCCACTGCTTTTTCTCTCTTTAATCAGACAGACTGCTCTATGTCTTTAACTAATGAAATCTAAGAATTCACCCAGTAGATCTGATCCAATGTCTCTATTGAATAAATCTTCATTAACACTGGCATATCCCACACCCTCCCTGTCCCGCTTCATCATTAACTCAGAGCCATACCTGTCATCAGAAGGCTATGGCCACTGCTTTATTTATACAAATAAACAAGCATTGGTCATGAACATAGCACCAAATTAGCATGGACCACACATTAGTTCAGGGGTTCTCAAACCTCATTGCACTGCGACCGCCTTCTGACAAGAAAAATTATGATGCTGCCCCAGGAGGGGGAACCAAAGCCTGAGCCTGCCCAAGCTCTGCCACCCTGGGTGAGGTGTGTGTGTGTGGGGGGTCAAAGTCCAAGCCCCACTGGCCTGCGCAGGGGAGCCAAAGTCGAAGCCCAAGGGTTTCAGCCCCAGGCAGGGGGCCTGTAACTTGAGCCACGCTGCTTGGTGCAGTGGGACTCAGGCTTTGGCTTTGGCCCGGGGTGATGGGGCCCAGGCTTTGGACCTGGGCCCCAGCAAGTCTAAGCCAGCCCTGGCAAACCCATTAAAATGGAGTTGTGACCCACTTTGGGGTCCCAACCCACAGTTTGAGAACTGCTGCACTAGACCACTTAGCCTGCGAGGACCTAATAATAATAACAACACTGACGTCCTTTTACCAGGAAGGAGAAATAAACACTCTTGACTATATGTGCTAGAAGTATTGCCAACTGCAGTATATATTTATAGTCTGGAATTTCCCCCCACTCTGTCTAGAGATCAATCCAGATCACTAGTATCAGAAGAGATCCCCCAAGATACTCAGAACAAAGGATCATTTCCAGATAGTTATGTTCTTGACAAGGTCCTAGTTGCTAATTTAAGGCATGTGTCACGTCAACAACTCAGTCAAAGCCTATAAAGTGTGCTGTAAATTCATCGTGTCTGATCCTGAAGAAGTGCACCCATCCAGGCAGAATAATGATAAGCACCCAGTCATAATTAGAGCTGGTCAAAAATTTTCCAACAGAACAATTTCCACTGGAAAATACTGTATAATTGCAACCAAACTTTCAAGTGGGACTATGTCAATTTCGATGACATTTCGTTTCATTAAAAGAAATGAAAAAAAAATAACCAAAATGTTTTGATATTGGTCAAAATGGTCCATTTCAATATTTGCAGAATACAATGTTTTTCATTTTGAAATTACTTTGTTTTGGAATGTATTATTTTATATTATACTTTTTAAATTTACTTTAAACGTCAAAATTTTAACAAAACATTTCGATTTTATTGAAACAGAACATGTTGCTCAACCCAAAATTAATTTTTTTAAAAAATTTGGTTTCACAGGAAATTTCTTAATTCTTTGTTTTAGTTCCAATTCAGAATGAAACAAATTTGGAAACTGTGGCATTTCCTGTGAAATGGAAATTCTGATTCCCACACAGTTCTAGTCATCAGACTGTCACCACTTTTACCCTTCTTACGTGGTCCTGAAGTCGCCAGGGCGTGATGCTGGACCAAGTTAGGAGATGCCTTTTAAAAACAAATCTGAAAAATCCATAAGCCAAATTCAAACCCTGTGTATGTGGGTGCAACTCCATTGCTGACAATGGCATTCTATCAGCCATCGGCAGATCTGAATTTGCTTCTGTGTATTATAAAAGGAAACAAATTTCCATGACAGCTCCTGCCTCTCTCTTGCTATGCTCATCAGACCATCTGAGATTCTATGGAGCAGTTATTTTTAGTCATTGGACATAGTGAGGCAAATTTGCCACCGATATAACCCCATTAAGCCCAATTTCTTCTTGATTACAAGATTAATGCAAAAGAGTATGAGCAATGTGTTTACAAAGTCCCTTCACTAGCACTCAGACATGTCACTGGAAAACATAGCACACAGAGGATCAAACATCTCATAATAAAATTCACCAGTAATATAATCACTGGTCCTAAGCTGCTGAATACTTGTTAATTGCCATCCATATGGCCTTCAGTGGGGATTGCCAACAGCAGCAGTCCAAAAAGATTTGGAGGAGGAAAGAAGACCAATCACAATAAATCTTTAGGTCTTCATGGCAGGGGTGGGATCAAAACTCTGGTAGCCATTTATATTACATAGAGTCAAGGTCAAAATTCCATCAGCCAATGGGAAGTGTTCATTTTCTCCGACCGTTCATAATGGTTGCCAGAGTTACAGATTGTAAAGAGCCATCCTGTCAGTGCTGCCTGTTTTGAAACTGTTTTTGAAATCCCCAGTTGGATGGGGTCCCGCCACTGTATCTAGCAACACCGCCACAAAACTGCAGCTCTGAGAAACAGCTTTAGCCCTGGAACATTCCTTTCAACTCCCTCCCCTTTCCATACACCACCCAATCATCAGCATACTGCGGAGTCTCACAATTTGCTCCAAACCCTCTCTCTCCTGACATCTCTGTAGCTGCAGACCTTTGCAGCACAAATTCTGGAGCGGTACTTTAGGATATTAAAGTCTTGATACCTGACTGAAACGTTTTCTTTAAACAAACAAACCCTCAGCAGTCCCTGTATGGGAAAGATAAACAGAAGCTGCAGAAATAACCTTTTGCGGGATAAATGGTCAGTGGCCACATGAATGCCAATGTACAGCCTGTGCAAAGTGCTCTTTTTTATCGGGTTCCCTCTGCCAACAAATGGTGAAGATGCAGGAGCTTACCCGGAGACATGCGCCTGGAACTGACCTCTCTGCAGCTGTGAGTAACAGTGGGGTGTCAGCAAGTCAACAAGGTGGGGTGCGTATAAGCATAGGCCCCAAGGCAATAATTTTATCTGATAATCTTTGCTGGGCTCTTCAGAGCCTGCTTCAATCTCCACTGGCTTCCTTCCCTCTCAAAGGGGTCATCAATCCACTTCTATAGGAAAACAGTATTTGCCATGCTGTATTAGGCCCTTGATTCATTATGTCCAGTGTCCTGCCTTCCACAGTGACCAATAGCTGTGACCAGAGCCCATAATTCACCTGGCCGATTGTGGAGGGCTCTATTACGGAGGTAGGAAATCCTTCCTGACCTCAGCAGAGATTAACTAACGCAGAGCAACATGGAATCTGAATACTCTTAACGGCAGATTTTGTTACTCCTTGTAAAGTTATCCAGCCCTTTTAAAAGTCCAGATCCAGTATTTGACTCTAACTGGCCCAGTCCATTTCCTTCAATGGGTAGGAGCAGCAGATTATACTACCCTACCTATTAACTGTGGTACGAACAGCACAGAATCCACTGTTTGCTCAGAGGGTCACCTTAGCGAACTGCCTAAAAGAGACCAAACTCTAAGGGAACTAGATCTGTGTGAGAAAAAGAATCAGACAATATTTCTGTATGTGCATGCAAACAGGGCCGGTGCTACCATTTAGGCAAACTCAGCTGTTTGGCGCTGCAAGCCTGGGAGGGGAGGAGAATTAGAGCGGGGGCGTGTTTGCTCAGGGAGGAGGCGTAGCAGAGGTGAGCTGGCGTGAGGAGCTGCCGCACGACTCCTCGGGCCGGAGGAGTGGGGAGCTGCCACGGGGGTGCCTCGGGGTGGGGAGGAGCTGCCGCAGGGCTCCCCACCCCAGCTCACCTCTGCTACGCCCCTCCCAAGCGTGCTGTCACTGCTCCACTTCTCCTGCCTCCCAGGCTTGCGGCGCCAATCAGCTGTTTGGCGCTGCCAGCCTGGGAGGGGAGGAGAATTAGTGCAGGGGCGGCGTGCTTGGGGAGGAGGCAGAGCAGAGGTGAACTTGGGTGCGGAGCTGCTGCACGGCTCCACGGGGGAGTGGGGAGCTGCTGTAGGCGGGGCGCCTCAGGGCAGACTGGGGGGAAGCTGCCACGGGGAGGGCGCTTCGGGGGGGGGCGAGGAAGCTGCCGCAGGGCTGGGGGGGGCACAAGGTGGAAGTTTCGCGCCCTAGGTGAAACTTCCTTGCATCGGCCCTGCATGCAAACTGTATTTGTTGGAACAAATTTGATAATTAGGAGCTTTAAATACTCAGAGACACTGAGATCCACTTTTTCAAAGATACTTAGGTTCCTAAAAATGCAAGGTGCCTAGTGGGAATTACAGAAGTGCTTAAGTGAGTTAGATGCCTAACTCCCATTGACCTCACATCTGAATTTTTACAAGCACAAAATCATAGCTGCTGTGATAAATTAGGGGGGCGGGTGGTAGCTTCCTTTTATGGACCCAGCCAGCCAGCCAGCTATGAAATCCCTCTTAGTAGTTGTTCTCTACTTGCTTTACCTGTAAAGGGTTAAAAAGTCTCCCTGCATAAGTAAAAGGAAGGGAGTAGGCACCTGACCAAAAGAGCCAATAGGAAGGCTAGATGTTTTTAAAATTGGGGGAAACTTCACCTTTGTCTGTCTTTTGTTGTTCTTGGGGAGAAGCAGAGACAGGGTTGGAACTATGCTGTAAGAAGCTTGGGGCTAGGTATGAAAAGTCATCTGAATCATACCTAGAAATTACTCACTTGAAACCCCCAGATATGTAAGTAGAACATAAAATGTCTAGGAATACGCATTAGGTTTATTTCTTTTTATTTCTTTATGGCTTGTGGACTCCTCTGTGCTAATCCCAAATGCTTTTGTTTTGCTTGTAACCTTTAAGATGGACCTCAAGAAGGTTATTCTTGATGCCTAATTCCTGTAAGTGGTTTTTTCAAATTTAGCAATAGTCTGAGTTTTCAAATGTATTTTCTTTCTTTTGTTTTTAATAAAAATTACCTTTTTTAAGAACAGGATTGAATTTTGTGTCCTAAGAGGTTTGTGCCTATTATGTTTAATTAGCTGGTGGCAACAGCTGATTTCCTTTGATTTTTCTCAGCTCTTCCCCAGAAAGTGGGGGTAAAAGGGCTTGAGGGTACCCCATAGGAAGGAATTCCCAAGTGCACCTTCCTGGGTTCTACAAGGGTTTTTTGCACTTGGGTGGAGGCAGCATCTACCCATCCAAGGTCAGAGAGAAGCTGTAACCTTGGGAGTTTAATACAAGCCTGGAGTGGGCAGTATTAATGTTTAGAATCCTTGCGGGCCCCCACCTTCTGCACTCAAAGTGCCAGAGTGGGGAATCAGCCTTGACAGATGCTGAAAAGAAAGCAAAGAAAAACATATGGCAATAACATTAGGCATTCAAATGTGGGGGTCTGGGTTATGCCCCTTAGAAAATGTGATTCTGTGTACTTTACATCATTGGTTCTCAAACTTGGGCTGTGGCTTGCTCAGGGAAAGCCCCTGGCGGGCCGGGCCGGTTTGTTTACCTGCTGCGTCCACAGGTTCGGCCGATCTTAGCTCCCACTGGCCGCTGTTCACCGCTTCAGGCCAATGGGGGCTGCAGGAAGCGGCGTAGGCCGAGGGATTTGCTGGCCGCCCTTCCTGCTGCCCCCATTGGCCTGGAGCGGTGAACCGCGGCCAGTGGGAGCTTTGATCGGCCGAACCTGCGGACACGGCAGGTAAACAAACCGGTCTGGCCCGCCAGAGGCTTTCCCTGAACAAGCCGTGGCCCAAGTTTGAGAACCACTGCTTTACATCATTGGAAAGTCATAGTTTAGAAAGCATTCATGAGACTCAGTAAATAATCTTTAAGCCCGTGTGGTGGGGTTTACTTTTCAAACCAAAGATACAAGAAACAAATATTGAAATTTAATTTCACATGATCTTCCAAAAATGCACCCACGGTATTTGCTGGTGTCTCTTTCTTTGTATGTGTGAGAATGCTCGTTTACATGCACAATTGCTTTGCATATGCAAATGCACACACAAATTGATTTTACTCCCAAATTTTCAGATGCAATAGCAAGGCCATTAGAAAAAAGTACGTCTAGAATCTCATTCCAATGACATTCTGGAGGGATAATAGGATACAGGTGAGATATAGAGCCCCCATTTCTGACTGATGTTAAAGACAATGTGACTATTCACAGAGTAAGGTACTACTTGGTGTGAGTGAGGAGATCAGGATCTGGCCTTTAATTTATTATTTTTCCTTCTGAGCCTCAAGGAAGCAGTTGGTGAACAGGGAGTGGCTTATAGGGTGGGAGGCCTGGCAGGCTAGAATTGGGAGCTCATTCCATGTATAAGAGGCAGTGCAGCAGAAGACACAAAGTCAGGGGATGTGAAATCTGGTATTGTTGGTGGAGGCAAGGGGATGAGTGTGACCATGATGGAAGATGAGCTGTCAGATGTGGGCTGGTGCTGAGTTGTGTGCAGGGCTTTGATGGGGATAACTTCAGCATGATAGGATGGGCAAGAGGAAGCCCTTGGGCAGGGCCGGTGCAAGGATGTTTCGTGCCCTAGGCGAAACTCCCACCTTGAGCCCTCCCCAAGCCCTGTGGCAGCTCCCCTCCGCCCTGAGGCACCTCCCCCGTGGCAACTCCCCACCCCCCCATCCTGCCCTGAGGCGCCTTCCCCCCAGTGGCAGCTCCCCCTCCCCCCAGCCCGGGGAGCCATGCAGCAGCTGCCCACTCCAGCTCACCTCTGCTCCGCCTCCTCCCCGAGCACGCCGTCACTGCTCCACTTCTCCCACCTCCCAGGCTTGCAGCGCCAATCAGCTGTTTGGCGCCGCAAACCTGGGAGGGAGAGAAGCAGAGCCGGGCGGTGTGCACAGGGGAGGAGGCAGAGCAGAGGTGAGCTGGGGCGGGGAGTTCCCCTGCGTGCTGCCTCCCCCCTTACTTGCTGCAGGCGGCCCTCCCTGCGCCCCCTGCCCCAGCTCCATCCGCCTAAATACCGACAACGACCGGGGTGGCCGAAGATCCAGCCGCCGCGGTCATCACCGAAGAAAATGCCGTCCCCCAAATGCTAGCGTCCAGTCGCCTAATAGGTTGCACCGGCCCTGCCCTTGGGCAGTTCAAAGAGAGGGGAGTAACGTGGCCTGATACATGGGCAAAGAAGATAACTTTGTCTGTGGCATTTGGCACTGTGAGTTCTATGGCTAGGAGGGAGGCCTGATTGGAGGAGGTTGCAGGAACCAAAGGAGGAGATAAGGATAGGACAAATGCCTCAGCAATCACGATGGAGATAGAGGGTGGGATTGTTTTTTAAATGGTGTAGAAAAAGAAGTGAGAAGATTTTGGCCACACACCCAAACCAGGGCCGCTTGACACACAGGGACCATTCCTTGCTGCTGTGAGCTCCATGTAAAGGACTGCACACAAGAAGTCGTTTGCAGAGCACAACAGCAATTGTATAGGTCCTACAAATCCCGGGAACTGTGCTACATATTCTTGAGTGCCATCTATTGGTACCTTATCTATTAAGTGTTTACGTATATGCAGGCATTTCTTTTTCGATAGCACACTTCTGTAACACTTGCTCTGCCTCACACATGGGAGTGTTCCTCTGAGGAGCCCTCTGCTCCCTGTTCGGATCAAGTTTTTCAGGTCAAGTGGGGAGCAACAATAATCAGAGTGGTGGTGGGAGAGGAGGGTATGCCCCATATCCTCAGCAGGGTCCAGGTGAGCTGAAAGGAGGAAGGGCTGGGATGGATAAGCAGTGCTTATGTCATATGGTGATGGTCACTAGATGAAAACAGGAGATGAAGGAGAGAGAAAGGAAAAAAAGAGAATCCAGATTTCCCTCAGACTTCTGTCTAGAACTTGGTAGTTTTGTCTCTGTTCTAATAAGGGTGGCTTTCCCCATGTTTGGGGAGTCACAAAAGGTTCCTGGGGGAGCCACAAGTGTTTGAGGGAAAATGTTACTGGATTATGCCCATTTGGGTTTTTTTTTCTAATTAAGAG